AAAAATTTGCACCTTTGGAATCTTGAAGGCCATGCATATCCCGTTAACAAGGGCATGGTTAGTTTTTTCTTTTTGCTTTTTTTTTTTTTTTTTTTTACAAAACCGACTTTGCATTTCATCCCGGTATGCCGACAATTAGGAGTAGTGGTAGGTAGGTAGGAAGTGTGAGGTGAAATTGAGAGAAGAATATAGCTTAAAAAAAAAAAAAAAGAACGAGGCCTGGAATTCCTCACAAACAACCCGGAAAATCGAATCTGGGTCCATTACCGAGCTTAGGTGCAGGCGTTGGCTGATAAGTTTCAGGCAGAAATGGCCACATCTTAGACGGACCACGGCACTGATAACTACCAATCCTGGGAAAAAAAAAGATTGCCACCAAGGCCAACAAACCCACACAACCCCCAAAGAACTCAAAACCACCAAATTAAAAATTAAAATTGCCAACAACGCCTACACCACCCAAAAACCCTCAAAACAATCATGAACCCCCTACTAATTTATACATATTGAATATACGAACTATCCTAATATCATGGCTATATGCATGAAACAATCTCTACAACTACGGTAGTTCCTACAACTCATTCCTTAACCCCATTCCTTAACCCCTAAAGCGGGGTTAAAGGGTATTTTACTATTTTTCGAGTGCTGTAGCAGTTGCGACAGCGTAAAGAAGAACAAGTGCTGGGGCTGCCTGGTGGGTTGGGGATTATTATCAGGGGGTGGGTGTGTGCATGGTTGTCGAGCTGTGGGATCGTGGGGTTATCGATTCTGTGATGTGGTGGAGCACCTGCCTGGCTTCGTCATTGACTGCGTTAATCACTACTGCTTTTACCGAGTCGAATGTTGCAGCTGACCGTAGCATTGAATTTCCTTGCTGTTATTCGTCGTCCCAGATCCTTACAGACATTCAGTCCGACTAGTTCTTAACTGTGTAGAGGGGCAGCAACCTTGCGCAGTCTGTGCATCTATCTACTTCTCCCAAGTAGAGTGGACGGTCATTATAGCGGTGTATTGCGGCCACCCTTCAGTCTAGATACTGTGATAATGACCGTACGTACGTTCTATTCGGTGTGAAGACTGTGTGCATTATGTTGTTGGGTCAGAGAGTATGCCGTACTTTTGCGTACTTTGTTAATTCTGTGCTGCCGACTGTTCAGCTGTGGTTTGCTCGGTGCTGCTGTTTGCCATGCCCTTTAGGACAGGGGGGAACTATTTTGAGGGGGGCGTGGGGCCGGGGGGAGTATTTTTTCCCTTCAGGACAGGGGGGACCATGGTACGATTTCCCCCCCTTTAGGACAGGGGTGGCCAGGGGGGGCTAGGGGGACTATTTTTCCCCTTTAGGACAGGGCGGTCCACGGTCGGCAAGGCAGTGAGGTCCAGTGGGATCCAATCTGACGATCTATCTTCTGATAGGCGCGACTTTATGCACGATTGAACCTTGTGGGGGAGGGGTCAGATGGGCCTAAGCGTCAATTTCATGAATGCCCCCATTTCCTTTTTTTGCTTTTCTCTCGGTTCTGCAGGAGCTTGGTCCCACGGCGGTTAGTGGTCAGGACACGCCTTAGCAAGCGCAGGGATAACGGCCAACACAGCTTTTTCCTTCTTTGTGGGAAATTTTGGCAAGGAGCTTTGGCGCGATCATCGTGCGGGGAAAATCTTTTCGAATTTTTGAACTCCTTGTGAAAGGATGCGGGAGACCGTGTAGGCACTCGGAAATAGGACTCTAATTAGACTAGGATTTTGGGGACATCGTACTTTTTGCTTTTGTAACTGCACAATGCTCCTTACTCGTGCGCGCTTTGCTGCGCTCTGTCCTGCACTCTATTCCTGCCGCACCTTAATTCTAATCTCAACAGTAATTTCCTCTTGTTCCGTTCTTGGTGAGTGTGGGTGTAACTGTAATCTTCTCCCTGTTGGCTTCTCTTCGCGCCGAAACATGCGGCCCCTTCCCCTTCGTCTCATTGCCCAGAGCGGTGCATGACTGGATCGATGCATGGAGAGTGGCTACGCCCCCCGCGCTGCGGCCCAGGCATGCCGACTGCAGGCACCTCCTTTCTTTTTCTCTCCCCCTGCCTCAGTGTAATCCCGGCTATCTTGCCCAAATGCTAATAGCTATAAATTTCGCAAGCGCGACTAAATCGCTTTCTAATCTAAACTTGGGAAAGTTAGCGGGGTCGAGAGGATCGGCTAATGAGCATGAATATGCAGAGAGGTAAGTTCGGAGTTGGGCGATCCGACGAGCTGGTGGCGAGTGTGTGGGGTTGACGTGTGGCCACGACGGAGTGTGGGGCACGGGCGAACCCGGCGTGTGTACTCGGGCTAAGTGGGGTGACAGCTCTGGGTTGTTGGTAGGTGCGAGGCATCGGACTGCCTGCATCGGAGTACGGAGGAGGATGGTGAAGCAGTGAGAGCGTGTGGGGTGCTGGGGTGTGTGGGGACTTCTCTCCTGGCTCTCTAGCAGTGTTTGGTTTCGGCTTTCGGCGTTTTTGTCTTTGTAATTGCAGACTTCTGTGTGATCGTGTGGATCCCTCCTTTTTCTTCAAAGTTTTCTCTCGTACCTCTTTCCTGCTATGAATGATGTCATGTGTGATGATTGCGGCCTGATCTTCTGAATTTGGTATGCATAATTCCTGGTTATGCCGGAAGATTGAGGAACGTGGATGCATGCATAACTGTTGTCCGTTGGAATTGATGGGAAATAGCGAAGTTCGTCGCCTCGAGTCGCTTTGTGAACAGATCTCGTGCCACGTGCATACATTACAGTCAGCCAGTCAAACGACCCGTCATGTATACACGCGCCCGCATGTGTCGCCCCCATCCGGGCTGTACTGCTGGTATACGTCTGCATGGATAGGAATGGCTGCATTAATGTGAACTCGTAGCATGGAATTCAGTGTCCCTTTTCGATCAACTGATCGCAACTACCCTTACCGAACGCCGGGCTTCATCTGGTGGGCTTGTAATCGAGGCTAAGTATCAAGAACACAGCCTTTGACTGAGACCGTCCACGTCAGATATAGGCGACGTGTGTCGAGCAACGAGATATCCATTATATTTGTCCCGTACACCGCACATATGGACCTGTCCTAGGCGTCAAAACTGCCCATCCCGAGTACCCGGCTGTGAAAGCCGCAAACTGAGAAAGCCCCTTTTCTGTCTGAACCTCTTGCACTTCCGTCCTTGGAACCTTGACACCGGAGATCCCAGTTCCGACCTGGGACTCGAGCCCACTTTCCTAAAACCCTTGGCACCTCCCCTTTTCTCGCAACTTCCGGGCCCGCTCCCACTCCGATCAGGAAGTTGCGGTGGGTGCGAGGTTGGGCGTCGCAATCCATTGTCCGTTAGAGTCCCTTAACCCTCTCGTTAGGACTAAACGGACCCTTAAAAAACTTTCACGGAGCTATCATGTTATTTTGCGAGCTGTACTAGAGTAGCCGCGGTGCTTTTTCACGGTGGGACGCTTTTTCTTTGATCTTTTCTGAAAACATAGGGTTTTACACCCTGATATTATTGTATCCAACAGGATTGGAGCTCTCGATCTATGTATGAACAGTTACATGTGTGTACCATTTGCAGGGCAGGTACTGCGGGGCCCTGTTCTCTCTTTAGGTCAGGACACGTGCATCACTGGGGAACAATAGTTTTCTGCTGGCTGCTGTTTGCCAGGCTGATGACGACCCTCCAAACCATCTCTGTCCTCAGAGGGGCTTATCAAGTTATGTCATCGACTGTGCAGATGGAGTCCTGGGGGGTGGGGGGGAGAGGGGGGGAAGGGAGGGAGCAGGTGATGCTGTACTGGTGTGGGGGATAATGGGGGAGGTTAATTCTCTCCTGGGTAGGCCGGTTTGATTGGCACGTATTGCATGCCTCACTGAAAATGATGCTATATATATTTTGGTGTGGGAGATAGGCCGGTTTGATTGGCACATGCTGCGCGCCTCACTGGAAAAGATGGTTGGGTTTGCCAGCCCCTCCTTTTTGGGCCTCAGTGACAATCTGCTGAACGATATGCACTCTCTGGGGGGCTTATCGTGTATGTCGCCGACTGCGCAAATGTGATGCTCTTTTGCTATGAAGCCCCTTGGGGGCCTTTTTTTCGTTGGGGGGGGGAGGACTATTTCTCTTTAGGATAGGACAGTTTTATCAGGGACTGCTGATGTGCATCCGTCGACATCCTGCTAACGAATCGTACCCCCGTCCACACTTTGTCGCATGCAGTGGTTATCTGTGGCCCATCGTTTTTTTTTTTTTTAATTCTTCTTCTTCTTTTTTTTATCTGTGGCCCATTGTATGGGTGTGGGCCTCGCGCAGTTTTGGAGGGACTGCGTAGTCATCAGTCTCTTCCTGTCAAGATGATTCGGCAGTGGTTTGGGTTTGTACGAGATGTGATCGGCTTGATGAGGGGGAGTGAAGCGGTGGTCATACGGCGGCAAACTGAGCGGATTCGCATGCAGCTTGTAGAGCTTCAGGCAAGGCGATTGCTGCGCGAGAAGGAGCTCGAAGAGGCCTGCCTCAGAGATGTCAGGCAAGTGGTTGAGAAGGTGCAGCGTCTCCAAAGAGATCTGACGGATGCTGAAGAGGCCGCAAAGGCGTACGTAGATCGGCTTGCAGAACATGCGCAGAAGTCGATCGAGGAGCAAGGGCCACCGGATACAGCATTGGTTACAGAGAGAGCTTCGGAACGACTGGACGCAGCGGTTTACGGCGACCGGTCACTTGGGAATTCCGGCCTTCCTGGGACATCCAGCATTATTGGTTCTTCTGTGGAGGATATGGAGGGGTCTGGTGCGCCTGATGTCAGAGTGGGAACAGGACTGAGTGAAGGGGGAGGAGGTGATCCGGCAGGAATAAGTTGGCGGCACAAATCGCAGGAAACGAACTCGGCAGGTCGATACCCTTCTGCGCACGATGGAAATCTTAGATGACACTCTTCTTAAGGCTGCCCCAGACACATTTTGGTGTTTGTTGTGTGTGTGTGTGTGTGTGTGTGTGTGTGTGTGTGTGTTGTGTGTGTGTGTGTGTGTGTGTGTGTGTGTGTGTGTGTGTGTGTGTGTGTGTGTTGGTTTTCTTGAGGTTTCTTTTCTTGGTTGCATTTTTGAAAGCCTACTTCTGTTTATGGATGCACAGCAGGACCGAACCGCTGACCATCACGAGTTCAAAATTGGTTGTTGATTTGTATTTGTTGTTTTGTATTTGTTGTTTTGTATTCGTTGTTTTGTAATAATAAGTAATTGAGATAACAGGAAGGTAGTGGTGAGAGCTGCTGAATAACTTGACTTGCACTGCAAGTCCTGGTTTTGTCTATGTTTTTTTGGGGGGGGGAGGAGGACCATTTCTCGATTTATGTGTGTCATCCTTGTGCAGGGGCCATGCTAATCTTGTCTGTATCATCCCAATGTTATCGGATGTCCCGAAGGATGCTCAATTTGGCATGCTGTGTTGTTGTCTTTTTATCATTAGCTGGTAGCTTTTTGTTTTTCCTTAGTAGGTGGTAGTAGGCTTTAAAACTGCAGCTTGGGAGAAACTTGTATTTCTGAAGTCTGCGGCAGCGTTTTCAGCTGCTTTATAGTGTTTTTTTTTTTCTTCTTTTTTTTCTGCAGCCCTGGTTGTTATCGGGGTGATACGAGCATCACCCAGTAACACCTCTGTTTTTTTTTTCTTCTTTTTTTTTCCTTCTCTTTTTTCCGCCGCCCTGGTGTGCGGCTCCCGTTTATTGATGGGGAGCAATGGAGCATCACCTGCTGGAAAATGGGTCTAGCGTCCCTGAGTGGGGCAATTTCATATGCAGGCCTGTAGTTCCTGTTAGCATTGATTGCCCTGGGAGACCTCAGGGGTCTGACCACGAGTGGCACAATTTGATATGCAGGCCTGTAGTTCCTGTTAGCATTGATTGCCTCCCAGGCTGTAGGAAGGTTATGCAGTGCAGCCAAACAGCTGAACCTCGACAATCGTGATTACATGGCGGTATTGATTGCCCTCTGCCTGAGCAGCAGGGGGGGTTGACTGTGTTTTCGCGATTAAATTCGCGACTAAATTCACAACTAAATTCGCGACTAAAATCACGAAGCAACACCTGAGAATTGAGCCCAATGTTATTCCATGGGCTGTCAAATGAGCCACGCAGGATTGGTTACGGTTACCCTCCCTTAATCGGGGGATAAACTGCGATACCCTCATGGATTGCTCAATAGGCATTGTTGGGTGCTTACGTTTTGGAAAGTAAAAAAGAAAAAGGTGTTTGGTGGTGGCGGCGTGGGAGATGGCTGCATTGGCAAGCCCTGGAAATGAAAAAAAATGGACCATTTCTCTCTAGTTATGCATGTCATCTTTGCGCAGGGGCCATGCGGAAGCTTCTTTCTCTGTAGCGTTCCAATTCTAACAGATGTCCATTCCACGCAGGACGCTCAGTTGGCATGCTGGTTCGACGAATCATCAGTTCTTCAGGAAAGGGATGGAGGAGGGTTGGGATCCCAACCGAAATGTACAAAGAGTGGACGGTGCTCAGTGATTCACATTTATATCCACCCTCTCTCAACACATGCCTTCCCTCTTCTCTTCCATGTTGTGTCGGGTCGCATTATATCAAGTTATTATCAACTCTTTTTTTTTTTTTTTTTTTAA